TGAAGTGGGAGTATTTTGGATGAATTATATTTATTTATTTATTATTATTGTTTTTTTTAACCAATTTGAAGTTGAAAAAGCATACAATTTCCGACCAATTCAGCCTTTGTGCATACATATATAGGGTTAGACATTTTGTGGTTAAAAACATAAATATAAAATGCATTTAAAATTATTATGCGATCCGCTTGAGTTAATTTTCGACCTATTTTCGGCACATATCTAACGGTATCTCAGTCATTACTTGACGAATGTTGGTCTTCAAGTACTCTAGAGTTAAGGGTTTATACGCCTATCCGTCGTCTTTCACTAAGCTACACAAAAAAAAGTCCAAGACAGTCAAATCGCGGGATCTCGGTGGCCGTTTGACATCGTCAAAGCGACCGGAAAGTTTCTCTCGCAATAAGGCGATATTCGCTCGTGTTATATAGCACCAACTTGTCGAAACCACATATTATTGTCCAAGTCATGTTCCTCATTGGCAAAAAAAAGTCGGTTATCATATGACCAAAATGTATGAATTGACAGTGACCAAAGAGCGCTTCAGACAGTAAGTGTTTTTTGCCGTAACGGCCTCTCTTCAATTATTTGAGGATTCTCAGAGTCCCAGTTGCGACATTTTTGCATTTTTGGTTATTTATGCTGACTTTTAAATAAAACAAACCATATTTGACAGAACAGTTAGTTCAGTTTGACAAAATATACTGTACTTTTGCACTTTTGAAACTGTGGAGTATGGAAATTTAACTCATTTTATGCCTGTAGGGAATAAATATCTCTTTGGGAGCATTGTTGCTTGACCGAAAGCACAACAAAATTTGTATCGAAGTATATATGTAGCTACTTGTAGCTATGAGTGCCCACAAGCCACTGACAGCCACTACTCAACAACGGAAATATGTTAATCTCACAACCATCGTGTGAAATTCATGCACAAAAAGTTATGTAGTCCCATCGTATTGAAATGTGTGCGCTCCGAAATTCGCGCCAAAAAGTATGTTAAACAAAAAAGTACTGAATTTCGTGGCATTCAACAAAGGTATAGAGTTGCCAAATAGTTGGTCGAGGAAAAGGGCAATCATGTAAATAGCGAAAATAAATAATGAAACTTCTAAAATGAAAATCACACAGAGTGTGAAAACAAAATATGCAGTTAAATATGTGTACAATATAATTGTTAAATTTTGTTTGTAAAGTTAACTGCAGATTTGGGAAATTTATAACCGTTTATGCGAAACCGTATTCGGTGTCGCCTGTTAATTTTCTTTTCATAATGTATATATGTGGCAATCGCAATAGCCGATTGGTTAGCATAGAGTACTACCACTCTGACGGCCCGAGTTCGTGTCCTGGTTCGACCAACATCCAAAATTATAGCGGTTCATAGGAGACATGGTGGTGGTGGGAGTGCAGAATTTCTATCCCTGTGGCATCATAATGAGCTTCCTAAAAGCTCAGCTGTGTCGCTAGACATTCATGCTAACTATCTACCCCTATCTACATGTGTATCTATGGGGTTCTTAAAAATTTATATGCGAGTCATTTAAATTTAAACCTTTTCGCTGATTAAAAATTCCTCAAAATCTACTCAATGAACCATTTTAGGGAGAAAGACTATATTTGATGAGATCTTTTTCAGCAGTAACGCTTTCTATGGGACTTGTTGTTTATATTCCAATAATTGCAGATATTGAATATTTTTAACAGTTGGCAACACTAAACAATGTAAAATTCATGTCTGGTGCATTCCAGAAGTTTAAATAGTTTCGTATATCTTTAATCATTTATGAGATAAGATTGAACCGAAGTAGAAAAAACACTCCTCTATAGGATAAGTGGATAAGTTTACTGCACCAAATCTCTCAACAGACTACTGCGACAAGATGATGTGAGAGCCACCTGTTGTGTTTGTTGCTGATGTTGGTGTTGTAACCGCAAAAATATTCCTCAAAGTAATTTTTGGGGAATGTTGCATGGGTGACAGTCCTGAAAAGACCCGACTGTCGTGTGAACTATTGGATTTTAGTCGCCTCTCACGACAGGCATGCCTTATTCTTAAACCCCTTACCGACGGGGGGGAGACCCACATGCTTGAGTTGGTTGAAGAGTTTCTGCGCTCGAAATAAAAAATATACTGTTTTACGTACGAAATATATTTCTTTATTCAATATAATCTCCATATTTATTCCAAAAATAATCCAATAATTTTATGCCGTCCCTATAATGACTTTCCGAAAGCTCTGCAAAATCCCGTCTACGACTGTAATAGCGTCTAGACTCGACGAAAAACGATTTCCATGAAGAAATTGTTTCAGGTTACTGAAGAGTCGCTGGAAGCCAAAACTGGTGAGTACGTTGGAAGCGAAGCTTTTTACTTCAAGGCAGAAAAAGCTGACATTTTTTAGCAAAAATTGAATTCACGGGACTGCCCACGGATAATGTGAAAATAATATAATCTGATGTACACACGATATGATAGGTGACACAGTTGTTGGATGAACATCTTTATCAACTTACGATGCCGCATAATCTAAACTTTGACTAGGCGTAGTTTCAAAATTCATCGCTGCTGCCCCTTTAGTCTTTAAAATTAACAGAAAATAGTTAATCGACCTAGTTTTTTAAGACAACATTTTCAACTTGTTGTCCCTTGAGCTCTGGAGCGCGCCGCAAGCAAATATAAGTGGTGTGTGTGTATATTTCTATTTATATCGGTTTACGTGCTGTCAGCTAACTTTATCAATTATTGTATGCTAATTTTACATAAGCTTTTATACGAGTACATTTGTGCGTACATACGCACACACACACACACACACATTCTAAAGGGCATTCTCTGATTTTTGCGTTGACTGACAGATCAACTTTGCATAAGAAAATTTACATATGAAAACCAAGCAATTAAAAAATTAATCGAAAAATTTTTAATCTCCCAATTTTTAGTTAAACTACATAATTTCTCAACCCTCTTTGACCTTGTTGATATCTCTCACTGTTGGCATCGCTAGCACTGAAAATGAGTGTAAAAATTTTCAAATACCGTACAATGGGCAACAGGCGGCTTAGAATAAGCTGTAGATCCCTCCATTTGTTGGTAAAATACCTCGGCACTTATTACGAATTTCAGGAGGAGCTCGGCCGAAAATCGCTCATTGAAGATTTGCGTCCACCTCCCGCAGGAAGGAAGATCGAATTTATTGAAAACCTACTCCATAAGATGGTGCCGCCTACTTCAACACTATGCATTTAGGGTGAAAACTAACGGAATGGGTTTGGTACAAACTATAGATGTCTGTAGCATAAAGCACCGGTCAAAAATTAGTTACCCAATTCAATCTTGATAAGTTAAAAGCGTTTCGATTTCGTAAACCTGAGCAGAAAAAACTTCGTCAAGAGAATGTAGACAGTCTAGAGTAACATCTAAGTCGGAAAGAAAAGAACAGTGTGAAAGCTAAAGAATAATAGGCAGGCCAAAATTCGGGATTATGAAGTGCTTGGAAGGTGAGTGGTGAAAGAATGCCAAGAAAAAATGTAATGGTAGTCTGATGGTTTTAGGACTGAGGCATATCCCTGTGGGTACAGGAAAGGCAGGCGAATGACTGACGTTCACAAAAGTTTAAGATCATATGGAAAATGCTTCTCAGCTAGTTAAATGAGAGGTTACAAACTCAACCTGACCTAAAAGCATAGAATATTATAGTACAGGGTTTTCCAATAAGAGTTGTTATTTGGATATTCAAAGAAAAATTGCATTTTTTGAGATAAATCATCGGATGTTTATTTCAATGCAAAGAGAAAGATTGGACATTAATAATGGAAAACAATATTAGCCAAATGGCTGCTAGGGCTAAGTTTACAGTACCGTATCCGTTTTATAAAATTTCCCATCAACAAGTCATAAACTGGCTGTTGTTTGTTCTCAATAGCTACACAAACTCCATCTTTGAGGTCTTGAATCCACGTCGGCCTATTGGCGTCGGCAACTGATCCCAAGGCAAGAAATCAAAAGATGTTAAATCACAAGATCTTGGTGGCCGATTGCGATCACCTCTTCGAGCTATTACACGGTCACGAAACTTTTCCGTGAAAAGATCAATGGTTATATTGCTCGTGTGGTCGTAATGGCGTCCTGTTGAAAGTAAACCTTGTCCAGATCAATATCATCCAATTTCGGTCATAAAAAATCATTAATCGTACCGCAATCTATTCATTTGCGAAAAAGTAAGGTCCACATGAACCGTCTTACCATGAACCGTCTTACCATGAACCGTCTTACCATGAACCGTACAACAGTTATACGTTGAGGATGTGAAGAGGTTTTTCAACAATAAATTTTGGGTTCTCCGAGTCCCAAATGTGACAATTTTGCTTATTGATATGGCCATCGATGTGGAAATGGGCCTCATCAGTCACAAGTTCGATGATCGGCCGACTTGAGTTCTTGTGTTAACTGAAGCCTTAAGCTTTAAGATCCAAGTCTTTATGCAAAATACGATGTAATAATTTTTCTGGATTGCCCAATACAAAAGAACGACGAGGAATAGACAAACTTGGGGTTTCTTCAACACTTTTTGCTGCAATATACTCAGTTGTACTTGAGTGACGTGCCAACTGTCATCAAATAAATAGCCATCGCAAGCGCCTATTGGTCTTTATCAACCTCATGATCTCAGAACCATCCCCAACACTAATAACCACATTCAACGCAGAACCATTCTTGCCTCTCAAGTACTGGTCCAAGGTGATCTAGAGGAGCTTTCGTAGTAGTGGCTGAGAGAAAAATAGCACCTTCTCCACTGAGGAATGAGTTGGCTTCAACGTTTTCTATGACATTTACACCTTTAAGATGCCTTTCTTTTGAATATCCCCAGAGAAACAGAGTTTATTACCTCGGTTTCTTTATTTCAATCTCGTTTTATTCGTTCGACTAATTTTGAATTTTCACTTATTTTTACAATTACTTACGAAGTATATGTATATGTATGTATGTATACGTTTTTAACACTCAATAAATTAAATAAATATTTCCTTTTTTACTTAAATACTCCCACTTAATCTAATTATGTTTTATACTAAAGCAAGCGCAAAATTCACTCGCTTCAATAAATCGTATTTACACTATTTCCATGCATGCCTGCAAGACCGGTTTGCAGGCTCAATTGAAAAAATCCAGAATACCATTCAAAACTTCGAGTGCAAAATCATTTTCACCCGCCGCTGCAGTCTTCTTCTTTTTTTGTTTGCGCGCCTTTTTCGATTTTTTCGTCGATTTCACAGTGGTGGCGTCAGCTACTGCGGGTGCTGGTGTAAGCGTCGCCTCATCACCAGCCGACTCGACGTGTCCTTCCGATGCTGCGGCACCATTGTCCTCTTTTCCCTGTGCATTATCTTTGTGGTCGGCGATACGTGAAGTGGGTGCACTGTTAGCAGGCGTTGTAACAGCTGCTGGGGCGGCAGGTTTTTCGTCGTCATCATCGTCCAACTCATCCAGTAAGCCAGCTAAGCTAAAGCCCCCATAATCTGCATCAGCAGGCGCTTCAGTATCGTCATCATCGTTCTCTTCAGCATCGTCTGTAGTCGAATTAAGACTTTTAACTACTAAACGAGACAATTTGCTATAAATAATTACCATCCTCATCGGTCTCATCTTCCTCCTCTTCCTCAGCTTCGTCAGTTTCATCGTCATAGTCATCGTCGTCATCATCATCACCGCCGGCTATATGTAAACGAATATTAAATGTATTCAAAGTGTTTGCGGGCAATACTAACTAACCTCCGAAGCCGAAAATGTCATCATCATCTTCGTCCTTATTCACCTCGACAGGTAATGGCTCGGCTTCGGCAACTCTCAAGCCTTCGGGACCGAACTTAAAGCACGAAACACGCAGCGCTGCCTCTACTTCATCCTCGGCGCGCAACTCGAATCCTAAGCAAGCCTTGAAGTCGTTCTTGGCTCTGGACAAACCGTAGACGCGACCGCAGAACTTCGAGTAACCACCAGGTAAACCAACGCAGATTGGCTTGGCGCGCTTGCCTACATAAATAATAAATAATAATAATAAATTATTCTCATACACTCAATGCATTCAACTCTACCACTCACCGGATATGGTACGTGTTGCCAATGTGATATCACCATATTTGATCGACACCGACATACGCTCATTGCCCAAATAGGTGATCTTCGCACAACCGGGTCCACGCACTGGTATCAATGGCAAATTGAATTGCCGACAGCAATCGCAATGATCATCGGTACATTTACAGTATTTACTAATGGGACTGGGATCATCCTGGTTCTGCACAGTGGTTGCCTCAGTGGCCGCTGCGGTGGCACCTGCACTGCTAGCAGCGGCTGGTGAAGCTGCCGCTACAGCAGGTGTGGCAACTGCAGGTGCAGCTGTTGCAACTGTCTCTTCAATTTCGTTGGCCGCTTCATTGACAACTTCATCCGTTACAGCTGCAGCAGCTGTTGCTTCATCTGCCTGATCGAGAACTTCATCGGCAAATTGTTGTGTTGATTCATCTACGCCAGCTCCAGACACATCTTCAGAGTTCAGCGACTCGATATGTTGTGGATCGAGTGGCGCTACATTCGGATCGATTTCCTCAGGCGGTAAATTGAGACGTTGAAAGGGATGAGATATTTTGTCTGCACGTCGAAATACCGTTTTCGCATCGGCGCAAATGAAGGTCATAAGAGCGGCGACGATAATGCCGAGCAAAATGTCTTGGTAACGCATATTTAACGGTTATTTGAGTTTGAGTGCTGGAAGAAAAAATATAATGCAGAAGAATGAAATCATGATAGTTCATCAAAGTTCTGGTTCTATTCGAGATTGATTCTCATGAAATTAATAGAATTCGATGTTAGTTCAGTGGAAAGATGAGCTCTTCTGTGTAATAACTTCTTGCAGGGAATGAGATCATTTTCCATTTACTTTATGTCCACCTTCGAGTATTACTTTCAGGAAGATAATATGCCTAACCTCATTCTGAGTACTTTAGAACTATAAAAATTAAGAAAAACACAGCTGTGGCTGCTCCTGAGTGGAGATCTGTTTAAAAATTGGTTTGAGATGTGGTTCGAGATTCACTTAAAGATGGAGCCTTGATGAAACTGGCAAGAAACATTAAAACCTTTTGAAACGGAAATACTAAGCTTAGGAAAGGCCTATGGAGCCCTGTTGAATAACCACGGCATGACACAGAAAGCAAACATATACACAGCCAGCATTACTGGTCTTGTCGAAGCCAAAAGTTGGTTCCAGCGCTGTCAACTACTGCTGGAGGGCTTCAAGCTCACTGGCAAATCAACTTCACTAAGCTATAATCTGGGTTCTGGGTCACAGTACAAATTTTCGAAAACGAAAAAGCAGATGATTCGGCCAAGTTCAAAGTATCTCTAGACGAATCCGACTGCTAAGAACCATCTCTCTTGAGCACAATTTGAACAAAAAGCTCACAACAGTTGAAAATATATAACCAAATGCAGGATAACGAAGCATTTATGGCCTAAGTATGTATGGTAAGACAATAACTAAGGACTTATTTCTATAGTCCTAGAAGAATTATATACAGAGTTGCAGCAAGTATGTCAGGGCATTGGTCATTTGGAGAAATCGCGCCAAAAATGGATCTACTATAGGACAGCATTCACAGCACCGGCAAATGGAAATAAGGAATTGAGAGCATGAAATGGTTTGAACACACCCGATTGCAAGAATATAAAGATCTCATGATCTAACGCTAGTTGAGCCAAAGCAGGCTGCACTCCCACCTACGTGCTTAATTCGAATTTGAAGATCGGAAATAGAACGCAATTCAACTAGTTAAATTTTTTACGATGCCTGGGTGCACCATGAATGAAAAACCTCATAAACCGAATTTCCACTTGCAAATCGCTGTGAATTGAAAAAAATCAACTTATTTCGGTCAAAGGGCAGTGGGCCTTCACAAACGATCTCTAAGCCGGTACTGATGGCCAGGCAGAAGATTTTATTATGTATTTGGCAGGATGGGCAGTGAATCATCCACTATAAGCTATCGCCTCTTAATTTGGACCTGTACCGTCAGCAATTGCATCTTCAGAAGTAAGCAAAGACCCACAAGCGCCCAACTTTCTCTAACACGACACGAATTATGTTTCATAGGCAGACCACACACATCGATAGTGACACACCAGTAGCTCCGAGAGCTTGGTTGGTAGTTTTTTGAGCATGCACCTTATTGTGCGGACCTCGCACTACGTGATTACTATCTGTTCCTGTCTGTGGCGAATGATTTGGCTAGTGAAAAATTGGCCTCAAGGGAAGCCTGTGAAAATCGATTGTCTCAATCTTTTGCCGATAGCAACAAGGCTTTCTATGAGAAAAGCATAATGACATTATCCGCAAAATGGCAGTAGGTTATCAAATAAATCGCTATTTATTTTATATAGATAGAAAAATTTGAACTAAGGTAAATAATTCCTGCAATTCAACGCAAAAATAATGGATTACTTTTTACTAGGTCAATATTAAGTTTTCTTTTTTAGTATTTTTGTTAAAAAAAAATTCATAGCATTGCGTGAAAAAAAATCTAGTTCCAGATTTAAGACAAAAAACTATTTAATTTGATAATGAAAATAGTTTTGGCTCATTGACTTTTTTAAAATATCTAAGATTTATTAGCCATAACGATGGAAAATTCTACTTTTATCCCTTATAATGACTCCCAACACACAACTTTCGCTGCGGTTGGTACATGCTCATATGTATGTGGGTATGTATGTATATACATATATATGTATGTATGTATGTACCCTTGAGTATTTTCAAAACTAATCATCCAACTGATTTGACTTTCTTTTCCGAAAGCAAAACATTATTGGCTGTCAATGTCATTGAAGATGCTTAGTAATAATAATATTTTTTTAAATATTTTGCATAATTCGTAAATTCCTTTACTCTTAGCGCACAACTGACTGTTATGTAAGCACGTAGTGTATACTTGTAGATATGTGTGTGTTTATGTGTTTAATAACTGTTATTTGCATATATTTTAATTATTTTAGCGAAAGTGTTGGCTTAACCCCAACTGGATAACAAACAACGTTTATAAACAAATTTGCATACATATATACATGCATACATATATACAATGTAACTACTTGACTACATACATACATATGTACATGTTATGCAAATTGGTGGATAATATGTACGTATGTAAACTGCTCTTCAATTTAATGTGTTTTTATTTGCACATTTAAGTATGTATGTATGTATGTATGTATGTATGTATGTATGTATGTATGTATGTATGTATGTATGTATGTATGTATGTATGTATGTATGTATGTATATGTATAAAGAAGGCACTGTGGTATTAAAAGTGAAGCACAAAGAAAAGAAAGAAACGAAGATCATTGCCAAAAAAAAAAAAACGCCTCAACAACAATTTATGGCGCCAAGCGGCTAAGGGCAGACAAACACAGCAACAATAATGAAAAATTCCAACAACAACAAAAACACATTGGAGTATATAATAAAACATAAAATTTCACCTTAACAACAATGCGGGCAGTTACATTTGAAATACATATACATACATATACATATAGATATACATACACATGTGTATGTGTTTGTGCCTACAAAATTTATTTATTTATTTCTGTATATTTATAAACATATGAAGAAAATGAAACTGAGGTAAACACATACATACATACATACTCGTATATATATTAAGAGCAAATACAAAAATATTTCCTAGCGGAAAAAGAAGAGTGCAAATATTAAAATAAAAAATATTAGAAAATAAAAAATCAATCTAACTGTAAACAGGCGAAAAAATGCAAAAAAAAATTTTTTTGCTTTATTAAAAAATACAACAAAGTGAGAAAAAGTTCAATTTTATAAAAAATCAACAGAAGTTGTTTAGCAAAAAAAAAGAAAAATTCCCTTTGATCATCAAAAGAAAAAAATTTTGAGTGGCAGAAATACCAAAAAAAGCAAAAAAAAATATAAAAACGAAACGAGAGTGAAATTGAAAAGATATATGTACATACATTTGTGCAAAAGATAAACAAAATTATATTTATACGTCCAAACACATACATACACAGACACAAACAATGAAGTGATGCTGGGTGCGCATGCGCCATCGAATTAACTTTTACAACAAAACTTTTGACGGAGACGCATTCAAAAAGAATTCAATAAATAAAAAATGCTTGAAAGAAAGGCAAAAAAAAAAAAGAAGAAGGGAGAAAGGAAGGTAAGAGGAAGGCGGCGAAGTAGAAGCAACGAGAAGAGCACGCAAACTCAAGTATTTATGTACATATGTATATATGTATGTTTGCATGTAAAAGGTAATCAAATGCTGCTGCATATGTAGGTATGTATGTTTCTTTAAAAGAAAAAAAAAAACAAAAGCCGGCGTGTACCTATGGCATTACATACACATTTATATGTATGTCAGCGGCGCGTGTGCGTGTGTGTGGGACGGAAGTAGCCAAAAGAAGTGGTGAAATTTTATAAAAAAAACAGTTAGTTTGATACACTTGCGTACATACATACATATATACAAATGTCTACATAATTGTCATTGGCATTGTGATTATATTTGTCATTGTTGTTGTTGCTGCTAATGTTTATTGTTAATATTAATAACGGATAGAAAGTGTATGTATGACGTTGACCAAATTAAACTATTACAATAACAAATGACAGCATACAAAGTGGCGCACGCTAATGAACGCGCACACAAAATAACGGTAGCGTGGCTTGCGCAGCAGCAGCAGAAGAAAAAGTCTAGAAGTGAGCCAGCAAGTTTATAGCGTACAAAAAGGAAAAAAAAAAAGAAAAACAAAAAGAAATGCACGAGACACGGACGTATTATCGCGACTGTTGCTACATACATAAATACATACATACATACAAACATACATAAATACATATGTACATACTTCAGTTGGGTGAAAGAAGCATTTTGAAGCATTCTTGAAATACCAGCGCTAATATTTGTGTTATTTCTTGTATGTATGTACATATGTATGTATGTACGTATTTCTCCACATACTGTTTATTTTTTTCTACAACAAAACCAGTTCAAGCCTATTATGGTCACTTACCGAAAGTGGTTACTGTAACAGTAGAATAATAATAATAACATAATAATAGCGATATTGATAACAAGAACAACAATGAAAATATGAAAACGGTAGAAAGAATAATAAAATATTACAAGTGCGCCAATTTGTCTTGTTACCGTTATTATTATAAGCATGACTATTGCTTTTACTTAATATAATTAAACAATATTTTTTAATTACAACACAATTTGTGAGGTAAAAAATTGTAAAGAAAGCGATACAAAAATAGTTGTTATAAATTAATTAATTATTGTAAATGAAAGTCTAAGGCGGTAGTGGTGGCGAAGTGTGATTTTCAAATAAAGTTTGAATTACAAGTTTTTGAAATAATTTATTCTTCTTCTTCTTCCTCTTCTTAATTGGCGTAGGCAACGCGGTTCAATAACAGCGCACCATTCGTTACTTTTTTTTCGCCGTTTGACGCAAAGCTGGAAATACCAAGTGATACTTCCAATAGAGTGATGTTCTTCAGCTTCCTCTCTTTCCACCGGATGGTACTGCATTGAATACATTCAAAGCCGGAGCGTTTTCATGCCTGCGGACGACATAACCTAGCCTCTTCATTCACTGAACTACAGCAATATCACTGTATAACTCGTACAGCTCCTCTGCCCCTCGTGTGCGGCAAT